CAGACGAACAACTTGCTTGGTTACAAAACAAGATGAAATATAAATGCTCGCCAGTTAGTCTATTTATCCCCGCTCAACGATATAGTTAGATAGCTAATTGGAGTAGGCGACGAGAGGTGTGTAACCCGACTCATACAATTAACCCTGTAAACCAGTAACTTGACAACTGAAATTAATTCTATGCCAATAATATGATACATGATATTCCATATATGCTACGGTCCTAGAATTACTTTAAAACTTGCTTGAAATATTATATCAAGAACAGTTCGCCATTAGTTACTCTCATTCAATCCATAAATAGTAGTAGTTAACAATTAATCATCAATTCTTTGGAAAAGATTACTTTGACTTTTATTTGTAGAGTTAAGTGGTAAATATAAATTAATTACAAGTCCCTTGGGAACGATAACTCGTTTCTTCAAGAATCTATATTACTTGCGCGACCACGTACAATTGCGTGTATACTGGGAAGCAACAAGTTTTTGGCGATACTTTATGAAATTCATGGATAATTTTACACATATTTCAAGACATTGTATTTATTATATATAAAGGATGATATGGTAAATTACCCTTCTGATTATAGTTTCTTAAGCAGTGTGCCCAGTCAATAGTGAATAACTATTGTTGAACAGAGGAAGTACTTTTAGTATATGGAAATTTAAAGTTGTATAAATGTTTATAAATATTCACCAGAAGTTGTACATCATTGCGACATAATTCAAAAGAAAGACATTCAGATAAAGTCATGTCTCATCTAGAAAATATAATTTCCTTATTGATGTCTGTTAACGTATTTAATGTACTATAAGTATATATGATTTAAATCTTCAATCATAATGTATTGTTTTGTACTTGTAGGACCAAGTAGATGGGTTTTGAAGTTCGTTTGTTTGCCGTACAAACAAGAAAAAAGAAATGATGAAGTTGGAAAGCAATCATTCCATATGTTATATATATATTATTCCCTCCGTTTCACAAAGAATGACTTCCTTTCCTTTTTAGTCAGTTTAAAAAAGAATGACCTCTTTCCTTTTTTGGTAACATTTTACTTTTTACTTTCCACGTGGCATATTTAAGACCACAAGATTAAGGACAATTTTGTACATTTGACATAACTTTAATTTAGGATCACAAGATTCAAAAGTCTTATTTATTTACTTAAACTCCGTGCCAAGTCAAACCAGGTCATTCTTTGTGAAACTGAGGGAGTAATATATATGGGAGAAAACATCTTGGCATGGAACATCCTTATAGGAGCACCAAAAGAGTTTAACCAGAGCTAAGATAATACTTTCGCTCATTCTTCACATGGACATCTACAGATCAACCCTTGATTGAGCTAGACAGTGCTGCATCAACTGAGTGTGTTCCCTGTTTGCTGTCATCATTGTGACAAGAGGAATTGGGAACATTTTCGGAGATAGGAATTTACTATTAAGAAACTATATACATGGTCCTTGCACAATTCGACTTCTTCACTGTAAACCATTTCAAATTCCAACCAATAATGTCAATGCTAAAAAGCCAGGTCAATGAGACAAGCTCAACAGGTATTTTATCTAATTAAAGCATGTCCTTAATTAATAAACCCTAAAAATATTTGATTGAACATTTAATCATCAATAAACACAATAGCAGATTTATCAAGAGTTTAAACCATCCTATAACAACTTAAAGGCCACCATGAATACTGCTGAAGGATAACTCTTACAGAGATGTTGGCACAAGGCTGCTTTGACAGATGAAAGCTAGACTTGTCAAGAAAGACCCCATTTTTTGGTTGTCTGGTTTGAGGATAGAGAAAACACGAAACAGGTTGCTTCCGATATAATATATTGGCTCTGTTTAATTGTTCCACATTCTGATGAAGATGTGATTTCATCCCATCTACCTAAGTCCAGCAGAGACCAAAGAAAAAAAAAAACTAGGTGATTTCATCCCATCTACCTAAGTCCAGCAGAGACCAAAGAAAAAAAAAAACTAGGTGATTTCATCCCATCTACCTAAGTCCAGCAGAGACCAAAGAAAAAAAAAAACTAGGTGATTTCATCCCATCTACCTAAGTCCAGCAGAGACCAAAGAAAAAAAAAAACTAGGTGATTTCATCCCATCTACCTAAGTCCAGCAGAGACCAAAGAAAAAAAAAAACTAGGTGATTTCATCCCATCTACCTAAGTCCAGCAGAGACCAAAGAAAAAAAAAAACTAGGTGATTTCATCCCATCTACCTAAGTCCAGCAGAGACCAAAGAAAAAAAAAAACTAGGTGATTTCATCCCATCTACCTAAGTCCAGCAGAGACCAAAGAAAAAAAAAAACTAGGTGATTTCATCCCATCTACCTAAGTCCAGCAGAGACCAAAGAAAAAAAAAAACTAGGTGATTTCATCCCATCTACCTAAGTCCAGCAGAGACCAAAGAAAAAAAAAAACTAGGTGATTTCATCCCATCTACCTAAGTCTTAGAGAGTAGAGTTACTCGATACTTCTGACGATGGAAGTAGCACATGGTAGTGGAATAGTCGAGGTGCTCCCAAATTGCACGCACACCACCATCATGAGAAGAAAAAAGAAAACATTAAACCGAGTTTTAGACCTCAAAACTCCAATAAGTGCACATAAACACATTCCAAAAAGTATAATTTTACAAGTCAACCAGCTATTGCAGATTCTTGACCATTAATTTTTTCTTTTTGATGACTTAAAAATCCATTTGGATCCATCTACGCAGCCAATATCCTTCTACACTTGAATGGGTCTGACCCTCTAACCTTTTTCACTTAAACAATAGACTTAGTTTGCTTCAATGGAAATATACGAAAAAATCAAAGGGATTCAATATATATATATAAAAGTAGTACATACGACCCTGGGATACATGTGGTTCTGCCACTGGTACGAAAAAAGAAGGGATTCAATATATATATATATATATATATACGACCCTAGGATACATGTGGTTCTGCCACTGGTTCGCTTGGGCAGGGCTAGAACTTGTTCCTCAAATTGAGTTAACCCCGGGGGCAATTTATCTAATACAAGAAACCAACTATTGCTGATTCTTGACACGTTGAAGCAATAGAATATATATATATATATATATTATTTTTATTTTTTTTTATTTTTTATTTTTTTTTGTATGTATTACTCATAAATTTAGTGAACTTTTACCCATAGATGGTATTGCAATGTTGGATCCGCCCCTAGGAGAAAACCTAAATGAATTACACTACTATTGGGGGTTGTTTAATTGGTGAGATGTAATGAAATGAGTTATCCAATTTATTTTTTCTACTACTATAACAAAAGAGATATTTAGTGAAAGTAGATTTTCTTTTAACAAAAATATTTTGCAGCAATTGAGTTAATCTAATTGCATCCAGAATCGCTAAAAGCCTTAGTGACACTTATATAAATAGTCATAGTTATTATTGTTGCTAAGCATTGAGAGTCTGGTCTGGGGCGCGCTGGTTGGCGCGGCGCCCCAAGGGTGAAGATTCAGAGACTCTTTTGGGGAGCGCTGGCTGGCGCGACGCCTTACCCCTATCCCCAGGTGTTTGACGCCTTTGCTTCTCCATTTTTCATCTCTAAACCCTCTAAACTTCAATGGTTCTTTTCCAAACACTTAGGATCATTTATACCCTCAATATATGATAGATTCAAACCGAAATTATACCAGGAAACATGAATCAAATCGTAAGAAACTTCAACAAAACAACCCACATGAATTCAAACGAATTTCATCAAGAACGCAAAGGATTTACTTTCAAATCACGCATATTTCGCTGAATTGAATCATGATTGGCGCGTGGGTGAACTAATCCAATGCTATGTGATCTCACATACCTTTTAGGGATCACCCCCGACGAAATCCACAAGCTATCCTTGACAAAGTCGACGAATCTTGCTTCCTCTTTTCCTTTCTCCTTTTTTCTCCAAGCCCTAGCGTGAACTCTAACTTTTCTAAACTGACCAAAATCTGGTTTTACCCCAATTAATCTCCTAAGCCCAACTTCCAAAGGGGATAACTTACTCATACGAACTCGGAATCGCGCAAATTCAGAGGCGTTGGAAAGATTATTCATATTTGGAACTACACCAAATCATCCTGAGCTAGGAGTTATGACCATTTGAAGTTGACCAAAACTCAATTTTTCCTAACTTAAACAATTTTCCAGATTTTTCATTCTTTCCAAAAATGACTATTTCCAGTTCTTAGCTTCGTCCTAGCTATTTCAATTTGCGAGATCTTACACTTGAAGCAGCATTATTGGTGTTGTTGTATGAAAAGATATATAGTAGATTTTGTATCTCGGTGTTTAAATTGTCAGCAAGTGAAGTATGAACACCAAAAGCCTGGAGGTGTAACCCAAAACATACCCATACCTGAGTGGAAGTGGGAGCGCATTGCTATGAACTTTGTGGTAGGTTTTCCTCATACCTTGGGTAAGTTTGATGCTATATGGGGTCATCGTGGATCGACTGACTAATCTGCACACTTCGTACCAGTTCAGACTACCTATAATTCAGAGAAGCTAGCCAAGATCTATATTCGTGAGATAGTTCATTTGCATAGGGTTCTTATTTCTATTATTTCAAACCGTGGCACACAATTTATATCGCATTTCTGGCGGTCTATGCAGAAAGAGTTGGGCACTCGGGTGGATATTAGTACAACATTTCACCCTCAGACAGACGGTCAGCCTGAACAGACTATTCAGGTTCTTGAGGACATGTTGCGGGCGTGTGTGATCGACTTTGGTGGTCACTGGGATCAGTTCTTGCCATTAGCGAAATTTGCTTACAATAATAGTTACCATTCGAGCATTGAGATGGCACTATTTGAGGCTTTGTATGGTAGTAGATGTCGATCTCCAATTGGTTGATTTGATGCATTTGAGGTTAGACCGTGGGGTACAGATTTGTTGAGGGAGTCCTTTGACAAGGTCAAGTTGATCCAAGATAGACTTCTCATGGCTCAGAGTAGGTAAAAGAGTTATGAAGATCAGAAGGTTCGTGGTTGGAGAGTGGGTCTTATTGAAGGTTTTACCCATGAAGGGTGTGATGAGATTTGGGAAGGAGGACAAGTTGAGCCCAAGGTATATCGGTGAGGTGGCGTATGAGTTGGCTTTGCCACCTAGTTTGTCGGGTGTTCACTCCGTATTTCATATTTCAATGTTGAAAAAGTATCATCAGGGTGGTGCTCATGTGATTCAATGGGATTCGGTGTTACTTGATCAAAATTTGACTTTTGAGGAGGAGCCGGTAACCATTTTGGATAGGCAAATTCGAAAGTTGAGGTCGAAAGAGATTGCTTCAGTAAAGGTTCAATGGAAGTATCATCCAGTTGAGGAGGCTACATGGGAGATCGAGTCAGACATGAGGAGTGTATATCCTCAGCTTTTTGAGCGTTCAGGTGCGTTCTTTTGTTTTACCATTCGAGGACGAACGTTTGTTTAAGTGGTAGATGATGTAACGACCCGCTAGGTTATTTTGAGAACTAGGACTATTTTGACTCTTCCCGTAAAATTTAAATGGAAAACTTTAAAATATTCGATAACTACGAGTATCTAGTTGATGAATTCTTATTAGATACTCCCTCCGTTTCACAAAGAATGACCTCCTTTCCTTTTTAGTCAGTTTCAAAAAAATGATCTCTTTCCTTTTTGGTAACATTTTACTTTTTGCTTTCCACGTGGCATGTTTAAGACCACAAGATTAAGGGCAATTTTGTACATTTGACATAACTTTAATTTAGGACCACAAGATTCAAAAGTCTTCTTTAATTTCTTAAAACTTTGTGTCAAGTCAAACCAGACCAATCTTTTTGAAAACGGAGGGAGTAATTAGTATAGTTAATAGTTAGTGGGCCAAGTCCATAATTCATTTAATACCTTTTACACTTGACCCATATAAATTAAATTGAAGTTAGTAGGTCTGATAAATTTGGGTCATAACTTCCGTCTCAAAGCAAAAGAGGGAAAGTGACGAGAACTTTAAGAGCAAGAACACGGAGTGCATAAGGTAATTTTCCACGCCCAAATTTTTGTACTGTATGATTTGGATATGGAATCATTTTAATATTATTATATTGGGGTTGTGAAAGAAAGATAAAAGGAAATTGAATTGGAAAAATAAATAAATAAAGGGAAACTACCTGTAACGTTTTGGACATGGGAAAGGATGGTTATGGCTATTTCTGGTAATCATTGGACTATGGATAAACTTTGGGTAGATATTATATTATTATTATTATTATTATTATGGTGGGTTGTGGAGTAGAAAGAAGAGAATTGAGTTGCATTAATGTTGCAGCGTATTGGACTTGGGAAAAATAATATTTTAAAAAAAACAAGATTTTGGTGTCTAATGAGGAATAGGGATTGGCTAGATTAATGGAAGGCTAGTGATGTTACAGTGATGTAGTGATTAGAGAATTGTAGGGTGAGGAATTTGGATGATTGTGGAATGTTAAGTTTTCCAGCGAATGAATACAAGGTCTGCCAAATTGCATTCGTCTTAATGAATATAAGGTTCTGCCAAATCGTATTGGTTTTGATATATAATTAATTACTAGGTGTATTTTAGTATATGAACACCATTAGATTTATAATATTTTGGTAGTTTAACGCTTAACCTAGGCTTAAAATTTAGGAATATGAGACTTGACATATATAGTTGATATAAGATTCATGAAACTTGGCTATAAATTTTGGTGAGTTTTGAGTTAGGATAGACATATAGCATATGGGTTTCTACGGATTTGTTTACTTATAAATACTGCATAATTGGTAGATTGGGAACGTTCTAAAGCTTTACGAAAAGGAAAGGCGAAATCTTGAGGATTCGTGACACGTGTTCGGCATTCAAGGTATGTTAAGACTTTAAGACTTCGTTGGAGGACATTTTCCTAATTAAAGATTAAAAATGAAATAGACAACGGGTAAGGGTGAAAGATGGGGGTCTCGTACCAATGGTGTGACGGGCATTGGTACGAGTACCGGTGGCTATAAAGGTAAACTTTATTACTATAGTATGCGGATTGTAATTAAAGAATGCCAAAGCATATGAGCATTAGCTGATATATTATTGACTGGTTTATTATGTGTGATTGTGTTCTTATTTGAACCCGTATAATTGTGATAGTGGAGGTGGTTATGTATTATGCTGATATTTGATTGATTGAGATGCACCATCACCCCCTTTATATAAAATCACATTGTGCACATGCATTGACATGAAATTCAGTATACATTGGGCACGTGAAGATAGTCCATGCTGGGGATGGTGAGATGTTAAGATTATAATTTGGGCACGTGGAGATTGTCCGTGCGGAAATTGTTTGATTTTATGATAGTGCATTGAGATCGTCCGCACAGACACGTGGAGATCGTCTGTGTCGGTATATGGACCTCGCGAGTCCCCCATGGGTCATGAACTCTCGATGTATTTCCGTGGAGTATCATGTATATACGGTTGAGAGAGTACTTGGCATATAAGGCATATCATTTCATGGTGTCACATTGCATTGCATCTCATTATATCATTTATTCGTGTTAATTATTTGCTTTATTGGTGGTTGTACATTACGTGAAGTTGACATTTGATGAAATTTGACTTGTAAGTATAATATAGTTTTGTGTAAGTAAAGGAATGATTTTCTTATATAAACTCTGGTCACTACTTCTTCATTGTCGGTCTATGAGATATACTGGGTACACGTGGTTTCGTACTCATACTACACTTGTTGCACTCTTTTGTGGTGCAAATTCAATTCCGAGTACGAGCACATCTTGTGGAGCATTTTGAGTCCGAGCTTGGAGTTGTGGTGAGCTGCTTGATTGTTCTGTGGCCCACACCTCCCCCTATCTTTTATTTATTCTGTTAATTTAGTATTCAGACAGAATATCTCTTACGTTTGGATTTGTCATTTTAGTTTCAGACTTGCATCGTATTTTAGAAGCTCTTGTACTTATGACACCAATTCTTGGGTGGTATTTAATCTTTCCGCATTCCATATTTATAAAGAACTTAGTGTTGGAGATTTTTACTCGTTGTTTACCTTTTTACCTAATTAGTTAGTTAAAATTGATAAAATATGTTGGGTTGACTTACCTATTGGTTGGGAAGATAGGTGCCATCACGACTTGTGAATTTGGGTCGTGACACTATTATCATCGATCAATTATTTATTAAAACACACTTCAACTATCAATTGTTCAATTTTCATAATGTTTATTAAGGCAACGCAATATGGTACATTATAAAATAATTTGTAATAACCATCCAATCCGAGTTTAATGGATTGATTTCACACGTGATTACATAATTTTTATTTTATTCTTACTAGATTATTTCTTACCGCATAAAAATCATTCTATTTAATACATATATCATTGAAATTTACTTAACTGGGTTTTGTAAATTGTAGTAACAAAAATCATTGAACTTTAACTAAGGAACCAGAAGTTTTAAATAATTGAGCTTGCTCAGGTTGAATAATTTATCAAATGCTTGAGCAAATTTGGAGGATAACTTATTCACATTTTCTATAATTTGAAGTTGAAATTTATTTGACCATCCAGTAACTCATCATAAATGATTTTTTCGTCCCTTTTGCGCTAGAAAACAAAGAGTAGAAAAATGTTAAAATGATTATTTTTGTAATAAAAAATTCATTAGACTTTGCTAATTATAAGTATCATATAATATAATAAAAGGTCCATTTCATTTTAAGCTAGATAACAAAGAGTTTAATTTTGCCTCATTCTTGGTCCAAGTCTAACATATGCATTTAATTAAAGATGTATAATACACATATGTAAAATTTTGCCTTGTTCCGTCAATACATTAGTGCATTAATTAAGAAGCTCACATATATGGGAGAAAATAAAGGTGAATTATGATTTAATTTTTATGAATTTAAAATTATGGGTTCATATATACTACTCTGTTATGATTTTAATAAAGTTTTACATATAATTAAACGATCAAGGAAAAAATGAAATTTTTACCTGATCACACAAATAGAGTTAGACAAAAAAAAAATGTAACGAAAGGCAAAATTGAACAATTTCGAGTAATGTGGAGTATCAGTCATGTTCAATATTATTGATCTGAAACCTAACAGCTACCAACAAAACTCAATTAGAGAGTCAAGATAGATAGCCAAAAAAATAAAGTTACAAAGATTAAATCACAAAAATCAAATGATGAACATAACATATGGTTTGGAATATTTCATATAACATTCTGATTTATGCAACACAACACAAGAAGGATAATTATGGAGACGAAGAACATAATTCATAGTCACAGCTCACAAGCTGAGGATAATTAAAACTAAAGGGGTTATGTAACATCCGGCAATATGAAATAATTGAAGAGGCT